ACCACAACTCGTTCAGCCATTTGCCAGTTGATAGACATCACCTCAATTTCCATTACTTAGCCACTACAAAAGGAGATGCTATAAATATTTTTGTATGAATAGATTCTTCCCCACTCCTTTTTTTTTTTTTGGCAAGGCAGTTGGGGTTAAGTGACTTGTCCACAGTCACACTAGTAAATGTTATGTGTCTGAGGCCACATTTGAATTCAAGTCCTCCTGACTCCCTCTATCCACTGCACCACCTAGCTGCCCCTCATCCCTTTTTTTAATCTCTTTGGGATACAGACCTGGTTCAAAGGGTATGCACAGTTTTATAGCCCTTTGGGCATAGTTCCAAATTGCTCTCCAGAATGAAGAGTTCACAACTTCACCAACAGTGCACTTAGTGTTACAATTTTCCAACCTCCCCTCCAACATTTATCATTTTCCTTTTTGTCATATTAGCTAATCTGATAGGTGTAAGGTGATACCTCAGGAGTTGTTTTAATTTGCATTTCTCTAATTAAAAGAGCATTTTTTCATATGTAACTTTAGATGGCTCTGATTTCTTTGTCTGAAAACTGCCTGTTTAGATCCTTTGACCATTTATCAATTGGGGAATGACTTGTATCCTTATAAATTTGACTCAGTTCTCTATATATCTTAGAAGTGAGGCCTTTATCAGAGATAACTTGATGTAAAAAGATTTTTCCCAGCTTTTTGCTTACCTTCTAATTTTGAATGCATTTGTTTTGTTTGTGCAAAAACTTTTTAATTTTATACAATCAAAATGATCGGTTTTACAATTTGTAATGCTGTCTGTATCTTGTTTGGTCCTAAATTCTTCCCTTCGCCATAGATTGGACAAATAAACTATTCTGTGCTCTCCTAATTTGCTTGTGTATCACCTTTATGTTTAAATCATGTACCTATTTTGACCTGATCTTAGTATGTGGTGTAAGATATTGGTCTATTACCTAGTTTCTGCCATATTGTTTTCCAGTTTTCCCAGCAGTTTTTGTCAGATAATGAGTTTTTGTCCCCAAAACTTGGATCTTTTGGTTTATCAAACCCTAAGTTACTGTGGTCATTTACTACAATGTATTGTATGCCTACTCTATCCCACTGATCCCCCACTCTATTTCTTGGCCAGCACCAGATTGTTTTGATGCTTACCACTCTATAATACGATTTGAGATCTAGCACAGCTAGGCTACCTTTTTTCACATTTTTAAAATTGATTCCTTTGATGTTCTTGGCCTTCCTTATGAATTTATTTTGTCGGGCTTTATAAAATAAGTTTTGGTAGTTTGATGTGGCACTGAATAAGTAGATTAATTTAGGTAAAATTGTCATTTTTATTATATTGGTTCAGCCTACCCAGGAGCAATTAATATTTTTCCATTTGTTTAGATCTGACTTTATTTGTGTGAGAAGTGTTTTGTAATTGGGTTCATATAGTTCCTGGGTTTGTCTTGGCAGATAGACTCTCAAGTATTTTATGTCATCTACAATTATTTTAAATAGAATTTCTCCTTCTGTCTCTTGCTGCTGGACTTTGTTAGGAACACACAGAAATGCTGGTGATTTATGTGGGTTTGTTTTATAATCCTACAACTTGGCTAAAGTTGTTAATTATTTCAACTAGTTTTTTAGTTGAATCTCTAGGATTGTCTAAGTATCTGTACCATCATATAATCTTCAAAGAGTAATAGTTTTGTTTCTTCATTGTCTAGTCTTATTCCTTTAATTTCTTTTTCTTCTCTTCCTACTGCCTGTGGCATTCAGGGATGGGAGAAATCACTTACTATAGCTTCTCATTTAATTTCTTGATCATTATTCAGTCTGGAGCAAACTTCAGACTTTTGCTGGAGTAGGAATATAGAAGCCAGACAGTCTGCCTCCCTCCCATTGAGGCATTTTATTACTACAATCAAGTTTTTTTGAAATAAAATACTTTGAAGTTGTGCATTAATATAATAATGAAGTATAAAAATAACCCATTATATGGCTGCTTTAATGTAAAAGAGAGGATTTAAGTGTACTGTTTATTAAGGTTTAATCAAGTAAGAATTCATTTCTAGAATAGATTAAAACAATATGTATGTAAATTTGTACAAATGAATTTATCTTTTCCTCTTCAGGATCGCAGAGCATCAGAGAAACAAAAAGAAATAGAGAGAGTAAAAGAGAAACAACAGAAGGAACTGAATAAGCAGAAACAAATTGAAAAGGTATCATTTTTTCTAAAATGTGGTAACTTGGGCAGCAGAGGTATTTTTAGATTTTCTTTCAAAATCAAGCTGTAACTTGAGCCACCTTATTGCTTCATAATTGCTTTCCAAAATGCCGCCTAAATGTATTGAGTGACCTGGCAAGTGTCACAAGGTGAACTTGGTGTTTTCACAACCATGCTGTTATTTACATATTCACACGTGACATCACTTTGAGAGAGGAGGTGCCAGGGCAGTGCCAGTGCTCGGTACATTTATGGAGCACTTTTAGAATGGTCTTCGGAGCCAGCTGCACGTACTGCTGACAGTCCTGAATTGGACAATGCTTGGGTTTTTGAGGATGCGTTTGATTTTTTTTACTTGTCTGAGAGTCATAAAGAGCCAAGTCGGGTAAATAAAAAAAGTGATCTGGTTGAGGGATAACATTTTTGGTCAAAAGCTGTCAGTCAGGCAGTCAACAAGCATTTATTAAGAAGTATGCTAGGCACTGTGCTTGGCAGTAGAGATGTGATTTTAAAATCAAAGTAGAATTATAAAATAATGAAACTTCTTTATAATGCTAGTCTTTTTAAAAAAAAATCTCTAGATCAGTTGAGGTGATTCCTCAAGTGTGAAACTATTTTATTTTGCAAGCAAAAAAGTGTCCTAGGATACCAGCATAATAGTTCACTTATTCCTAAGAGTTCTTGGAACAAGGCCAGTTCTGAAAAAGTACTTAGTTAGATTTTCAAGTAGCCTCTCATTTTAGCAATTTGTTGTTGTTTTATGCTAGCCATGTAGATTTCCGTTTGATTAGAGAGGGCCATGAAAGTCATTGTGATTTCTTACTTTTCCTAGGACTTAGAGGAACAAAGTCGATTAATAGCTGCCTCCAGTAGACCGAACCAGACGAGTGGAGAAGGACAATTTGTGGTCCTTAGTAGTAGCCAGTCTGAAGAGAGTGATTTGGGAGAAGATGGAAAGAAGAAAGAGTCAGAAGCGTGAGGTGATCCGTTTTTGGGTGGCTTTTTTCCACCATCAGAATCTATTAACAGTTTCTGAGGTGAAACAGCACAAGTTAAACAACCTTAAGAGGCATCAAGGTGGATACTTCAGATTTTTTTCTAGAAGACTGAACTTGCCAACCAAGTTTTACATTGATTTTTTTCCTCTTAAAATCGACTTACAATTACTGTAATAACAATAACTTAACACCTAATTCCACGTGTTTAAAAAAAATCTGTCAGTTTACTGAAGTAGGTTGCTGCAGAATTTTACTGAATTTTTTTTCTCAATTTCAAACTTTGTATCTTGGCTTTGCAACTGGGTACAGCTAAAAGGCATTATTTATCCTTGGGCTTCAGCTATACAGGGGGTTGTTATTTCTGTCTGCTGGAAGCAGGAAGAAGCTTTATACTGAACAGATTCAAAATCATTTGCATTTTATGCAAAAAATCACTCATCCTTGTGAGACTAATATTACAACAGTGAATGTGCAATACACCTTGGAACAGTCCTGGGACACAGTTTTTATGTGTGTGGTTTTAGAGTTTTCAGGGAGGTGCCATTTAATCTCAGAGTGCATCATTGGCATGACTTCATGGGATGTAATTACATCTTGGTGTATGTGGAAATAGAAACAAAGGTTTCTCCATGTCAAGATGAACCTCTCGGTTGGCATGTTATGTGAGCATCACATTCTCATTCTCAGGGTGGGACTTGAAATACTGCCACCAAGTAGTAGTGGTGAAAGTTAAAGGTTTGGGGGCTGTGGAAGGACATCTTTTTGTTCAGATACGTTGTAGATAGTGAATTTGGACAGGGCAATTTGGCCTTTGGTATCTGCTTTACTCAGTGATGAATTCTATTTTTTATATCATACAAAATCATAATGTTCATTACAGTTGAGTGACATTGCAACAAAAGTTCTTCAGCAATTATGTTTACTGATTAAGCAGAAATCCCTGAATATTTGGGGGTTTGTGCTCACTTGGAATAATTTCAACTGACATTCTCCAAATCTTCACCGCTAAGTAACCCTCAGCTTCTTGCTGTGTATGATATTGAATCTTCCATAATGGCAAACAACTAATTTATAAAAATGTCATATTTGCACTAATTATTGTAAATAATACTATTTTAATGAGTGGAAGACACATACATAGGATTCAAAAACATCTTGTAATGTCTGTTATGGTATAGAAAAACTTAAAAAAGAAAACGGTTTTGGCTCTGAGCCATAGTTATAAATGATGACAATTTTCTACAGGCCACGTCCATGTCAGATGTTTATTTTTTACAATTATTAATGTTTCTGACAAATAGTGCTTCTCCTAAGTTTAAGAATTTTACACAAAAATATAGTTTCAGCAAATTAAATGTATTAAGAAATGTTTTCATCAGTTTGTGAATTTGGTCAGAAGTTAGTTTCCAATAACAATCTGAAATTTCACAAGGGAAAACTCTATTCTTTAAAATGCAGCTGTTTTCCTCAAAAGTGAACTGAAGGGGTTCATTTTTGGCTTTTACTCAGTGTGTGGGTTACTGCTTTCTGTGATCACTAGAACAGGTGATGTCAGATCCTTAATTAGGCCTTTCTTTTATCTGTCTGTGTGCCAAGTGGAAATTTTGACTTACTTAATGCTTACAGGCAGCATCAGGTTACCAAGACATTTAGTTTAAAAAAAAAAACATTTACAGCTGGTCCATATGACTGAATTTATTTGAGAATATGATATGACTTACTGCTTATATAGAGAATGGTATAAATGTCAACATGACCTAATTCCTTCATTTGAAAAGTTGTCCTTTGATCAATAATCATCCATGTAAAATCTTGCTCTTAAGTCGTTATTGATAAATAGTGCATATTCTGCTTAAATCATTTGTTTACATCATAGATTGTGTCCATTTACTCTTATTTCAAATGCAGTCTCTATAACCTTTAGGGAAGTTCTTTAAAAACAAGAAACAAGGGAAGATTTTTAGCAAGAAGGGAAAGTTCTGTATAAGCTGGAAAAATTGAGTGATAAAAATAATATCTTTTATTGCTAATACAGTATGACTTTGATTTGGGAAGAGCAAAGTGAGGAAGGTAGATGATTTTCCTGTTTTTCTTGAGTCCCTACAATATGGTCTCACTTTTGTTTTGAAGTATTGTCAATTTTATGATATCAAACCCATATCCAACTGTAAATTTAAAAAACTCTAAAACTGAATAAAAATTAGTTTTTAATTAGTTGCTATCCTGGATGACTTCAGCCTCTGCTCTACTGTAGATAATTGAAAGTTGACTACATATGTTTGTTTCTGATGGTTGTAAAAGGACTTTATCTCTACCAAATTTCTTCTACTTGACTAGTCCAAAGTCTTGTTTCTTCTTGCCTAGATTACTGTAAAAGCCTAGGTGGTTTTTTTGCCTCCCTTCCATCCCTTCTTCAATCTGTCATTCATACTGTGGTCGTAGAAAACTTCTTAATGCACTGAGCTTATCACTACACTCTTCTGTCCCCAGACCTCCCCATTGCCTCCTGAATCACGTGTGGACTGCTGGTCTGCATAACAGTGTGGTTCCAGCATACTTTTCCAGCCTTATTATATACTATTCCGTTATCATATATTCTATATTCTAGTCAAAGTAGACTATTCTCTGTCTCTTGGGGTCACCCTGTCAGCTCCCATCCACTGCCCCCACTCAGTCTGTACTAAAGTCCATCTGTTCTTGTGAAGCCACACTCCAGCCCCGCTTTCTCCATGAATTGTTCCTTGTTTGCAGCAGCTGAACCCTTCCTTCACGGTCATCAAGTTCTATCATATGTGTGTCTTCCCCTCTCACACTGTACCCTTCCTTGAGGGAGGGGTTATGACAGGTCTTTCTGCCCCTCTGTACCATAGGTGCCTTGCATGGAGTAGGTGCTTAATATCTCTTTATTTAATTGAATCCTGATGATAATAGGATTAGGATTTAAGGTATTTTCCCCAGATTAATGTTCTTAATGATTAAAGATGTAAGCAGGACCAGTGCACATCCTGAAGATACACATACAATATTTAAGCAGAAATTTTCGAAGGCCCTGGTCCCTCACGTAAACACCTGCCCTTCTACCCTAAGTAAGAAGTTAGAAGCCAGCTGTTACATTCTCCTTTCAACTGTCGTCCAGTGCTAACATCGGACACTTGTTGGCATCTTTGAAGTTGTGCCTGAAGTCAGTGTTGTGCCATACTACCACACCTCCACTTCACGGGTTTTTATAACAGAACCCTAAAACTTCGGTGATTTTTTAAAAGGTTGTTTTGACCTAAGTTAAAAAGATAAAGAAAAAAGAATAAATGATTGAGAAATGAACATAATGCTAATATGAGAATTCTTATTTAACAAAGAAATCAACCCGTCTACAAATTTTGGAGTCTGATGCAAGAAGTTCAGGTATTTTATAGGAAGTTTTCTTTTAAATTCTAAACATCTGAAGCATCCATTGGATCACAAGGCATTGGGTCATCTCACTGGTTTGGTTTTTGTTCTTGTTTCATTTAATAGCTCAGGCTCAGACCTGGTCCATTTCAGGTGCCCAAAAGAGCCCCTGTTAAGGCGAGCATTTCATTCCATTTGGAGAAATGGTGACTTGCCTTACATCTGTGAGATTTAATCCTCATTCCCATGAAATTAAAGACACAATTATTAGGAAGCACATCTGTGGGGATGTCAGAATTTCATTACATTTTTAAGCTGTCGCTTGTGATTGTCTAAGATAATTTATCATGTATGTGAAGAGCTAACATGAGAACAGGCCCATGTACAAACCAGGTTCATGTACAAAAATGACTACTTTTTGTAGTATGTTCGAGTGATTTTGTAATGTGACATGGGCAAATGTTTGTAATGCTAGATTGATTCTTTTATTGGTGTAATTTTCAGCAGTTTTCAATAAGTAAGAATCATGCAAAATTTCCCTTTAGAATTGGGATTGTATATAAGACAGTGGTGACATTGGGATTTTTTTTTATATTGTAAAAATGGGCATAGAATATTGGTGACAGGACTGAATGGTAATATGCCATTTGAATTTTAAATGTAATAAAATAACGTGTTTTGTATGTAATAATTTGGGGTTTGAAATAGGTGAATGGAATATAAATATCTGTACTGAATTTAAGTGCTTTCACATGACATACATTGTCAAAGATTCGGACATTTTTCTTCTGTTTACAACACTGTAATTCCATGTATTGCCACTTTTTCAGAAACATGATGGGCAGTGAAAAGTGACATTTTTCAATAATTAGATTTGACATGTTAGCAGGCTTACATTTACCATTTTGGTCTTACTATCACCAAACACTTTCTAAAGAATTGCCATACTCTAAAGCAGTGGGGTCAAACTCAAATAGACACCGATCTCTGCCAGCCACATATTGACTTAGAAAATCACAAATTAACATTATCTATGTTATATTGTATTTTTATGTATTTTGTTAAACATTTCCTAATTACATTTTGATCTGTTTCTAGCAGCACTTGGAGTTTTGCTGGGGCAGGTTTGACACCTCTGTTCTAAAGGATCGGGTGAATGTATACACCAGCATAGACCTATGGTATTGCTTGAATGATATCATTTCCATATATTCTATTTATAATTTCTTATAGTCCTTAACATACCATTCTTATAGAGGTTTGATTTCTGTGGACTCGTCCTCTCCACATTGTGTAAGCTTGTAAACTTTTGGAGGGGTCAGGGAACAAATGGAATAGAATTTTTACTTAATGTAATTTAACTAATGTAGATGCATGTATATTCTACATATATATATATACACACACACACACACACACACACACACACACATAATCTGACCCGATAACGTAAATGAGAAAAAACAGACTATTAATGCAAGTTATTCCTGCAAATGTTTTTGTAAAAGACTGTCCATCACTAAATTTACTCTCCTCCCAAAGTAAATATGTGCTTATTAAAATAGCCTATGGTGCTTTTAAGTCCCACATCTGACAAACTCAGTGAGGCACGGTATATCATGATCATGTGGTTCTGGAGGGTACTCTTGTTGACTGAATTGGGCATTGCCATTAAAATATAAGTATGAGAAGGGACTGGTTCTCTGACATTTTATTTTTCTATCAAATTATTCATGTATTGCCTGAATACTAGGATAGCCAGAAGAGTATCATTCTTGGCATGCATGTAAAATGTTTAATGATCTAAATTTCTACATACAGAAACTGGTGTTTAAATCCATTGTTTTAAGAAATACAGGAACAAAATCATTTAGGTAATTTAATCAAATGCTGTCATTGTTTCTGTCAATAAGTCTGCCAGTTATCTGAACGTTTCTGTATGCCCAGCAGTGATTAGTTTATGTTCCAGTAACTGGAGTCATTAGAAATTTGACATTGTTGCTACATTTTATTTAAATTCATATGTATTTATTTAAAACACAGCTTACTTTCTATGTTAGCATTCTCTCAATAGCAAGCTTAACAGACATCCAGCATCTTGTGCAAAGACGTTTACATTAAAACTTCAGTTAACTGAAGACCAAGTCTCTCAGTACTAAGCAGATGACTGGAAATTGATGTGGGCTTTTGTTTGTTTTTGAGGTGAGTACACATTCCAACTAAACCCCAAGAATCAAACTCCCACCTCGTTTATGTGATGTCTGATTCACCAAGCCCTTTGCTCAGAGCCCCTGTGAGATGAGGTCCGTGATGCCAGGCATCTAGCCTTTTCTGCTCCTGGCAGTCCCGCCTTCCGGTGCATTGACGTCACCAGCCACGTATCCTTGCCTGCAGCACAGAGCTCATAGCAGACGGGGGCTGCCTCTTGTATTTGATCCCCAGCACCTCCTAGAGGGCAGGCTGATGAGTGTTCCCCCATTTTCCACTCAGAAAAATTAAGGAACTTGCCCATGGCCACACAGCCTGACCTCAGTGGCCCAGAGTAGAAATGTCAGAGCCTGAACAGACCTGAGGGACCATCTCCTCTCAGTTCCTCATTTAACAGATAAGGAAACTGAGCATGAGGAAGTGATTTGTCCATAGCTGTTTAGAGGTAGGTCACCCAACTCCATCCCACCTCATTCTTCATCTGCCAACACTATACAGTAAAAATTGTTGCTAAAAATACAAAGATTCCATTTTTTTGAAAATACCTTCTTTACTAAAGTGCAAAAGTGGATGGATAGCTTTGGAAAGATTTCTAACGAGTTGAAAACATCATTAGAACACAGGACCATTCCAGTTAATTGAGGTTTTATGGTAATGTTTTCATTCCTAAAACTTTGTGTCTGCCATAGAAGCAGTGTGGTAGAGTGAATAGAGTGGGGCTTAGGGTCCAGAAAACATGGATTCAAATCCACCCTCTGATCCTTATTCCATGTCTGATGCTGGGCAAGTCTCAGTCTCCGTCTCCATGTGATCCTGACAGTTCCCTGGGACCTATCTGCTAGACTGGTCTTCATCAGTCATTGGAGGGAGTTCACAACCGAGCCCCTCAAGCTGACAAATCACTGATCCCAAGTGTATTTGTGTACACCCACTATCTGCTCTACATGGAGATGGATAGAAAAGTGGGTTCAGAACTACTTGGGCAAGGCGGATGGTAAATGTGCATATTATACATGACAGATAGAACCAGGAGAGAGGCTGAATAGTTTCCTATTTTTAAGGAACCTGGCTGCAAAACATCTGCTCTGGAGTATTTCAATTACCAGGTCCCTGTTAAACATCCTTGTCCATAAAGGTCATACTCTCTGAAAAGTACATATTCTTTCAGTCGATTGGGTAGTGGAAGAAATGACATGAAGACAGGGCAGCGTAGACGTAAGCGTCCCATGCATTTCCGAATCTTTAGACGACAAAGATGTTTTAGGGAACGAGGGTTTGCTGAAATGGGGGAAAAAAAAGAAATGGTGAATTGTTCCAAAAGAGTTAGTTGCTTTATCTTTGGATGAACTTAGGGTTCAGTTAGCAAAGTTTTTACTGTGTTTTTCCTCTTTTAAACTGACTTCTAAATGAACATTATTTAGTATGGGAGAATGGTGCTTTCGCTTCTCATTTCTGCCCACCCTAGTCAAGACTTCTTTAGTATTGTGAATCAGGAATGTGAGTTCCAGTAAGTAGCCGTTTCATGTGAGAACCAAAAGCAGCCACCTCACTATATTGTTTTTCAACCATATTTCCGAAGGACTCCACATTAAAGTCCTGACCTCATTACATGCCAAATCCCAAAGATCCCCAAGAAGAATGAGAAGAAAAGATGGCATCTGGGAGTAAAGAGATGGGCAGAAGGCTCCCCACGATGCAAAAGTTTGAATTTGGAGAGACCTGTCAGTACTGGTTTCTGCAGTCAACTGTTGTGACCCCAGAAGTGAACCATGATTTATATAGAAAGGGAAGAAATGCTACTCACAGAAAACCCTAATAATGTTACTTTTGGGTTTAGAGGAAAATGTTACTTTTTGGGTTTACTAGCAGCAAACCATAAATAGGGGTTTTTTTTCTACATATCCAATTTTCAACCAGGGAAATGAGTGGCTCTTAAGATGAAAAAAAAAAGTGCCATCAATACTTTGGCTGAGAAGCCCCGGTACTTACTGAGGACTGAATTGATTTCTGCCCACGATGCCTGTTCTTGGAGTACTGTTCTTAGCTTGGAGCAGATCTGAACTCTGTCAACATAGTCAAGCATCACCTGAATGACCTTACCCGAGAGGTGTTGCAGCCAAGGCAGAGTGATCACCTCGCAGAACTGAGGGAGAGAATGACAGCATCAGAGTTGGTGATCAGTGCTGTTCTACCAGAGAGACTTGGAGGTACTCAGTAGGAGTGAGGAGAGCTGGGCCTCTGTGATCCTGGGCAAGGCATTTTACCCCTCAACGCCTCAATTTCAGCATCTGTAAAATGAATTGTACTGGAGACTCTAAAGTCCCTGTCAGCACTAACATTATAGAAAATATTTCATGAGCATTTACTGTGTGCACCATCCCTGTCCTAACATGTCATCTTCAAACAGCAGCATCTGGGAGGACCTCACCATTCATAGGAATCCTTCTTCAAGGTGGACTCTATTAGATTGCTTCCTCGACAATGGTGTATATCTCTAGCAAGCATATGTCTCCTTGTTTATACCTTGCCTGACATTTATTTTTTTAACCAGGATTTCAGATGAGGTTTTCTCTATTTTCTATCTTAAGTAATTTTGATATATGGATGGAAGTCATCAAGGTAGCATTTTTTTTCTACCAATTTGGTAGAAAATTAGAGGGGGCATCCAAAACAATGAGATCACAGATCCATTTTAGTCCATATCATGCTAGAACTCACTTTTCACCTTGAGTGGGTCGGATGTTAGTAACATGAGGTGAGAGAGCTGATCTCTTGCCTTGGATTGCTATGGAACAAGCCTGTGGCCCCACCATGGCAGAAGAGGAAGCGGCCCTATACACAATTTATATTCTGATGAGTTTTGTTCAAGGCTATGATAGAACTCAAAGTTAGGTGAAGAGCTCAGGAGCGTAGCTTCTTCAACAGCTAATGTGCTCTGGTTCTGTCTTCCATGAGGAGCACAGTCTGTCCCAGCCCATGAGATATTATACACCAACATGCAACACCAGTCTTTAGGGAGCCCACGAACCAGCAAACAACATGACATTAATTATCCAGCTCTGTTATTTTATGCTCTTCCAGAGATGCTTTCTGAACATCACCATCTCCATCTCCACTATGGGCTTCTACTGTTTTAAATGTTGGAGAGTCAAGGGACTGTCTTTTGACTTGCTTCTAGATCTATGCCTTGGGGTCTTTGAGCATTAGAATTGGTTGAGGAAGTAAAAGAGGCTTGTCATACACTGCATTGCAATTTGCGACCCATTACACGGCCTAAGAGCTGAACAGAACAAAATGTGTGTGTAGTCTCACACATGGAGGTAAATGTGTATGTGTTGCAGTACTAGTAAATAGCAAGCAGACGTCTCGTGTGTGACACTTCACATACATGTGAGATTTTAAATAAAGGCTGCACGTAGGAGGGGTCTGCTCCTGAAGTCACATGACAGAACTCGGGGCTAACTTAATCATTAATTTGATCTATAATTCTGCCCCCTAAGACAGCATCTCCCCAAAGGCAACGATGGAGGCGTTTTCAATTGTTGTTTCACTACATATTTTAGGAGAATTTCTGTTTCTTCAATAAGGAGCAGACTTTCTATGCCTATCTGTGATGGCCATTTGGTAAGATCCCTACACACATAAATCCACGCAAAGGTAACGTCACTCACACCAAGTCCTTACCAGTGTATCTCGAATGACCGTCGAGGTCCAGCCTTCAAAAGTGTAGCGGGAATGAACTTTGTCTCCATGGGGACAGTCAAAACACCTCTCCGTGTCATACCCATAGTTCAGCAGCAGCCTTAGCATGATCTCATCTTTGAGCGTGTACTGCAGAGCTGATGGGAAATGTAAAGGATTCACTCTACAGACATAATTGACGTTGGCTCCGTGCCTGAGGAGCAGGCTCACCAGCTCGTAGTTACCCATTCTGAGGGCTATCTGGAGGCAGTTGACTGGGTCCTGATTGGGCAGCGCCCCAGCATTCAAGAGCAGCTTCACTGAGGAGACGTCGCCATTTGACACAGCAAAATACAGGACCGACTTTCTTTGGTCATCGTAGTGTTTGCGAATTTTCTGATCGAGCATGAAGTTGGCATCAAACCCAACTCGGAGGAGAAACTCAAGGCATTGTGAGTGTGCTCCAGCCGCTGCACAATGAAGGGGGCTGATCCCACTTCTCTTAATGGCAAGGGAATCCGTTGCAGGGACCAAAATCTGTAACGCTCTGGACACAGAAAAAGAAAAATTTCCAATCATATTTCGAAATATCCTCAAGCTTCAGTATCAATCCATGGCATATATCTTAGGGCATAGTGGTCCATTTGGGCAGCTAGGTAGTGCAGTGGGTAGAGCTCCAGGCCTAGAGTCAGGAAGACCCGAGTTCAAATCTGGCCTCAGACACTACTAGCTGGGTGACCCTGGGCAAGTCACTTAACCTATTTGCTTCAGTTTCCTCATCTGTAAAATGGGCTGGAGAAGGAACTGGCACAGCATTCCAGTATCTCTGCTAAGAAAACCTCAAACAGGGTCACAAAGACTTGGACACGACTGAACTGAACAACAAAAAAACGGTCCATTACCACCGCAATGCCGCTTATCATCCAGTTCCCCTCCAGAAACAAGAATCTGTGCTGACAGGTTTCAGGGTTGCTCCCGCTGTTCTCCACGTGAATGAGTTAGCAGCATCTTTCTGTGAACGTACCCGACTCGGGTCTTAAACTTCTTATATCTGCTGCCTAACATTCAGGGACAGTAGAATCTATTCCACTGCAGAGCTAGAGTGGGCTCTCGGCCCCTAAACCCAACGTTATCCTGTAGTTTCCTGGCCGTGGACTGGAGTTGTCTTCTCCTACCTAACAGAAACACTTTCACTGTACCTTCCCCCCTCCCCTGCAGTATTCCATTCATAAGACTCGACTTCTGCCACCAGTGGTGATGGAGCCAAGCCTGATCCCCCTTAGTGCTAACATCCCTTCCTCTTGGCCGTTATCACCACTCATGGAACCTCATCCTGCATCTGGGATCACTGACAGTCATCCTTGAGCTATGAAGCCATCAATGAGCCTTGAAGGAGTGGCACAGCTTTCCTATGCCAGGGCCCCTGCTCCTTTTGAGTTACAGAGTGCCTTTAGCTTTGAAAATCACCATCTGTCATCAATCAACCAATAAGCATTTGGAAAGCACCTACTGTGTGCCACTCATGCCCTGACTCACTTTCTGGCTTTCTCCTCCTCCTCACCAATCACCTTCCCTCCCTGGACAAAACCTCTACCCTGAGACCCCACTCTCCCAATCAGTGACTACCTTGCCCAGACCACTGCTTCAAAAATAATCCAGTCAGGCTTCACCTTACTCTCACTTTGACTCACTCTCTGGACTTCTCTGCCTCACCAGGCATGTTGCCCCTGTACAGCTACCCCCCCAGCTCTCCAACTCCCCTTTATGTTGTTTTTCCCATGAGAACATCTCATTTACTTGTATTTGTACCTGAAGAGCACATACAAACAACTCAATAAATGTTTCATCTATCTATGTACCAGGCACTGGGTCCTCTGAGACACAGGGCCAGTAGGACAGTGTATCTGCATCCATTTTCCACTGAATTTGTAGCTGATGAGGACAAACACCCACTCCTGGCAAGTTACATCAAACTCGGTACTTGTCAGAATAAAGATCAGTTAGTGACCATTTCCAAATACACATTTTTGAAAATTTTCAGCAGCAGCCCATTTCAAGGCCAAGAACACCAGCTTGCAGATGGGATAATAGCATTCACTCATGATCAACAAATCCCCTATTAGAAAATAAACTAGGTTCCAGTCACCATCTCTCTTCTGGCACAAGACTGCCCCCAAGCCCTCGAAGATAGCAGGATACACAAAAGTCTTATTTTAGTCAACTTAAAGCATGACTAGTGCATGTATATGGCAGATAATTCTTTCAAGGTCTGGTCCCACCTCTTAACACAGAAGGGTGCCAATGCATCAAGTCTGAAAGTTTTCTTCTGTCTGGAATGCTGTTTGAATTTCCCTTCTGTCCAATGCTTATGGCCTCTCCCAGTTATCTGTCTACGGAAATAATCATCAAAGGCATAGTTTTTGTAAATCCATGATAATCACCAAATCATAGAAGTATGTCCCGTTCATGATAATTCTTTGGATACAACCATGAAACAAGCATTTCTGCCTTTGAGGGGTCAATATTTGCTCCCTATTGACTATGTGACCCACATATTTGATTGAAGCTCAAGCAAAATGGATATTTGTTGACCAACAGCAAGGGAACAGTATTTATTAGGTACATGCTATGTGCCAGTCATGCTTTTAAAATTACCTCATTTGATCTTCACAACAACCCTGAGAAGTAAGTGTTATTACCCCATTTTATAGATAAGGAAACAGGCTAAATAACATGGCCTAGGTGATACAGCTAATAAGTGTCTAGTGCTGAATTTGAACTCAGGTCTTCCCGACTCTAGCCCAACACTCTACCCAGTGTGTCACCTAACTGCTACCTTTAGACCAGCCAACTGTAGTTGCTCTAAAATCTTCAACAGTTTCTCACTGGTCTCTTCCAGCATTTTCCCACTCACAATGAGATCACCTAAAGTAGAACAAAATCGATAGTAGACCATGTTTCTCACTTTGTCCATGAGTTGCTGAAAAGTATCAGGGCCCCAGAAATCTTTTGGGACATGCTCAAATTAGGAGAGTCCCACCAGAGTCTTCTGGTGTATTTCCAAACCCTAGCTGGCTGTCCATCACCCCCTTATGTGTTACCTCCCCCATTCTAATGTTAGTTCCCTTGGGACAAGGGCTATTCACTTTTAGATTTGAATCCCCAGTGTGGAGCACAGTCCTAGGCACATAGTAAGCACTGGTATTTTTTTCATTCATTTGCAGCAGCCCCTGTGGGGTCACTCTCCCCACTTGCACTGCCCTATTAGGCTGGGTCCACAGAAGGCAATGACAACTTCTATGGCAACCTTAACAGGTTGAGAGTTTCCTGGTACTATGCGTATTCTCAAACCCCCATCTGATATGCTTCCTAGTGATCCTCAAGACAGCCAGAGTTAGTTTGCTTCTGAAAAGGGATATTTACTAAGGTGGTAGAGTTGGTACAAAACATTCTCCCCAAAAAATCTGGGAAACTCTGTCTCACAAGAATATACAGAGTCCAGGGGAAAGTGAGCTCAAGCTTGGAGATTCATGTGGCCTTGGGGTAAAGCACAGTTCTGAATTGTTGAAAGTCTTTTTCTCCCTCTGTGGAATTCTTACAAAGATTCCTGAGATTTAGCTCTCTCCTAGGCACCCAAGTCCTCAACTCTTCACTGACACCGCCCTAAATCCAAACATACGCCAAATCTTGTCAATTCTATCACCTCAGCATCTCTTCCTTCTCAGGAAGTCTGGGTGAGAATTTCATGAAGGGAAGAAAGCCTGGGGCTACAAGCATAATCCCTTCAGTCAAAACTAAAGTTCAAAAATTGACTAGAGCAATGTATAACCCCAGAGGGTGGCTATGTTGGATTTTAATAAGAAGCAAGCAATGCTTTTAAAAATTAAGTAATTGAAAAAAAAAAGCAATTACCCTTTTGAGTGTTGTTTTTGCTAAGTTTGTAGCATTTATGCTTTCAAAGTTATTAAAACTTCAAGCTAAACCCAGACTTTTGGGTCATACTATTTTTTGGTTTTAACTTATCTGGGTTCATGCTGCTTTTTCCCTAATAGAATGTAGGCTCCTGCAGGGCAAGAATAGAATTAGTTGTTTTTTTAATTTCTGGAGCCTGGCACATAATAGGCCCTTAATAAATGTTTGTAGAATTGAACTGGACCTAATGTAATTGAATCAAATCAAACTGAATTGAATCAAACTGAATTGAACTGGAAGCCATCGTTGCAAAGCATACTCTTGGATTTTAAATGGTACTAATGATAGTTGGACTTACAACAAATGGCCTCGATCAGCTGCTACATGAATAGGCAAGTGGCCTGAACTCTTGGGGACATTGGCATCTGCTCCATATTCCAGCAGGAGAGTCAGAGAGTCGGGATTTCCTCCAGCAGCAGCCTCAAGCAAAATGGATGAAGCATCTGAAGCCTGTGAGAGAACATTGGCCCCTGGGAGGACAAATAAAGTTTGTTTGGAGCTTTTTGATGCAGAACCCCAAGAGTATTTTTGTAGCCCCCCCCCCATTATTTATCTTCATTATAATTGAACATCCACCATGTATACACACTATGAAATTCTAGGAGTACATTCATTTCTTTTTTTAAAAATTTGAGTTTCAAATTCTCTTTCCTCCTGCCTCATCTACCCATTGAGAAGGTGAGCAAAACGCTACCCATTCTACATGTGAAGTCATGCAAAACATTTCCATATTAGCCATGGCACAAAAAAAAATAAATAAATGAATAAATGAATGAACAGAAAATAAATATATGGAAAGCAAGAAACATAAAGAAAACCTTTTTAAAAGGTATGTTTCAATTTGCTTTCAGAGTTCATCAATTCTCCCTCTGAAGATGGATAGTATTTTTCATCATGGGTCCTTTGGAATTGTCTTGGATCATTGTCTTGATCAGAGAAGCTAACTCTTTCACAGCTGATCATCCTTACGATACTACTGTTACTTTGTCTAATGTTCTCCTGGTTCTGCTCACTTCACTTTGCATCAGTTCATATAATTCTTCCCAGGTTTTTCTGAAGCCACTATTTCTTATAGCACAATAGTATTCCGTCACAATCTTATTCTACAACTTATTCTGCCATTCACCACTTGATGGGCATCCCCTCAATATCCAATTCTTTGCCACCACAAAAGAGCTGCTATAAGTATTTTCATACAAATAGGGTCCTTTTCTTTTTTCTTTGATCTCTTTGGGATACAGACCTGCTAGTGGTATTGCTGGGTCAAAAGGTATGCCTGCAGATTTACAGCCCTTTGGGCATAATTCTAAATTGTCCTCCAGAATTGTTGGACCAGTTCACAACTCCACTAAGACTGCATTATTGTCCCTGCTTTTCCATCTCCCCTCTATCATTTGTAATTCTCCTTTTCTGTCATTTTAGCCAAACTGATAGGTGAGGTGGAACCTTAGAGTTGTTTTAATTTGCATTTCTGTAATCAATAGTGAGCTAGAGCATTGTTATGTGATGACTGATAACTTTGATTTCTACTTCTGAAAATTGCCTTTCTTATCTTTGACCATTTACCAATTGGGGAATAGCTCTTATTTTTATAAATTTGGTTCAGTTCCCTATATTTGAGAAATGAGGCCTTTATCAGAGAAACTCACTATAAAATTTTTTCCTAGTTTCCTGCTTTCCTTTTAATTTTGGTTGCATTGATTTTGCAACTCTGGGAATGCAAAAAGGATCCCTGCCCTCAGTCAGCTTACAGTCTAGTTGGAAAGAAAAGGCAGGGCCATGCCAAATGAATGGGAGAGGCAACCAGAATTTCTGGCTTCAGAGGATGGTGAGCTGGGTATGGGCTAGTGGGTCAGGAGGGCTTAGAAGGCTTGTTCTGCTTGACACCAAAGGGCAGAAAAGGAGCAATGAGTAGAGGGTTAAGAGAGGTCCATTTAGATGTGAAGTAAGGAAGAATTCCCCAGGAATGGGAGTTGGCCCAAAGTGGGCTATGTAGGGAGACAATGGAGGTCTTTGAGCAGAGGATCACCACTTGCTTGTTGGGTAGATTGTAGAAGGAATTTAGATCTAGGTATGGGTTGGACTAGAGGGTCTCTGAGGTTATAAGTTCATAGATTTCAGACTGCAATGGGCCTTACTTCCCTAAGGATCATATTTTTACAGAAGAGGAAACTGAGGCCTAGCAAAAGGAAATGACCTGCCCAAAGTAGCTCAGGGAATAGAATGAACGCAGGTCCTCTGACTCCAAACCAGGCAGTCTTCCCCTTGTGCCCCAGCCCTCTATCAACCCTGACAACCCCGGGAATATGTGATTATGCAATTTAGGGACAGGAGGCACCCTAGAAAATGTAGTAGGGGGGAGGAAACAAGCATTTGTTAAGTACCTACTATGTGCTAAGCACTTTGCCAATATCTCTTTTGAAGAGCACTGATCTCGGACTGGGCAGAACCTGGGTTCCAGTCCCGTTTGCTCCACCCAAGTACTGGGTGTCAGGGGGAGCACAAAGGGACCAGAAGCATCATCTTACTCAGGAACTCTCTTACCCCGAGGACCATCTACTTGTCTTAGAAGATATTTCGGTGACTTTAGTTTGCTATCACTGTAATGATAGGTAGGTTATTTTGTGCATTTACGAGCATTATTCTGAGAAAGGGTCCCAGGACTTCACCAGACTGCCCCAGGGGTCCATTACACAAGAACGCTTAAGAGCTCCTGCTCTAATCCAGTCCTGCTGTTTTAAATATTAGGAAATAGAGGCCCATGGAGATAAGGTGACTTGGTCAAGGTCCCACAGGGTATGTGGAAGAATTGAGATTTTAGCCTAGATTCTCTGATTAAATCCAATGCTCCCTCTCTGAGCCATGCATATGGTGGGCACCCAACATCTGTTGGATTTAATTTAAAATGAATTAGGCCTCAGCTCCCTTACCTATGAGATAATGAAACAGGCAAGTGATATTATGAAAAGACCACTGGATTGAGAGTCAAAAGATAGGGGTTCAAATCCCACCTGTCCCACTTGTGTGACCTCAACACTTAAGCCCCAGTTTCCTCATCTGTAAAATGAGGTTAGACTTAATGTTCCTTCTAACTTCCTTGTAGCTTTTGATGTAGGTCCAAAGTGCGCTTCTCAGGCTTCCTAACTAGGTGACCCTGGCTGGGAAAATCATTCTATTGTTATAGGCCCTATTATTGTAGGGGACTCTGTAGGAGACGGGCATTGGTGGCGGGAATCAACACACCCGGAATTGCTTACCCTTTTGTAGCAAGAGTTCCATCACTTCCGTGTGCCCACCTTGGGCAGCAAGAGCGAGCGGCGTGAACCCATAGGTGCTCTGTGGGTCAGGATCAGCCCCTGAACGCAGCAAGAGGTCCACCACGTCCTTCCTGCCCAGCCGGGCGGCCTCGTGCAATGCCGTCCTCTTGTTAGCACAGCGCAAATTCACGTTGGCGCCAAAGGTGATCAGCAAGGAAGCCATGTCATAGGAATGGTGTTTGACAGCTAGGACAGCATGGGAGAAAGAGACAGTCAGCCTTTCCCAACAGGAGCTAATGGCTAGGAGGGCAAACAACCTTCACCCCCTTCAGGTCAGCAGTGGCTTGCCGTGTTTTGAAAATCGAATACAAAACCAAGTCACTCCTTTGCAAAATTCTCTTTGCCAGATACTTAGAGGTAGCTAGTGGCATGGTTGATACAGCATTGGGCCTACAGGCAAGAAGACCCAAGTTCAAATCTGCTGTCAGACACTTACTAGCTGTGTGACTCTGGGCAAGTCATTTAACCTCTGTCTCAGTTTCCTCACCTGTAAAATGGGAATAATAATTCACAAGGAGATGATATTTATAGAAAGCTTTTAACGCAGTGCCTGATGCATAGTAAGCCCCATACAAATGCTTACTACTCCCCTCCCCAACAATTCCACTCAAATCCATCTTTGATGTGTGGAGACGACAGCCCTTGAGGGCTAAACAATGGAGTATAAGCTCTAGAAGGTCCTTCTGAGCTGGTAAGACACCAAATATGGTCCAGATGTTAGACTGTGTGTCCCATCCAAGGATCAGCCAAACTAAATTTGGAGACGCTCCTCTCTAGAAGGTTGTTGTCCAAGTTCAAGAGCTTTAACTATGGTAGGGCCATCAGGGCTTTGTCCAAGGATAGAAAATTTAGCCAACACTGACAGCACCATCTGGGAATCCCTTTCTTATACCCCCTTTCCTCCTTTGTCCATCACTACCTCCTGGTAGTAGTAGCTTCAACCCAAGACTTGTTCCCCCTCCCCCACCCTGCAGCTTGGAAATTTAGAAGGCAAAGATAATAGTGCCCTGACCTTCCTCCCCTGCCCAGGCCTGCCTTCCCCTGCCCACACAGACTTGGCCTCCTACCGGGGTATGCCTCTTATATAACCCTCCTTGAGTGTCCCAGGACACACCTCTTCTCCTGATAGCCACACCCCAGGTAAGCCTCCCACCTTCTCTCCCTCTGCCATATGTATACTATTCACTCAGCACAGCTCTTTCAGCTAGTGGCAACCACAGAGGGGCCACAATCAATGTCAGAGGGAGACAGAATCAACCCCAGTGAGCATCATGGCCCTTTCAAAGATTCAGAATATTTGTTAAATGATATGTGCATTCTGGTTTTCTGACAGAAAATAAAGTCCTTAGGACAGGGACTTCACCCATAGTAATTGCTTAATAAATGCTTACTAATTAATAGGGGACACAAAATGAGGTGTTGGGAATATGCTGGTAATGGGGAGCTGTTGTGTGTGGGAGTGAGGAGAACATCAGGGAGGGCATAGAAGGTCCATAGGGACAGGGCACCTTGTCAGTCAGTCTGCAAGCATTTACTGAGCACCTGCTCTGTGCCAGGCAGTGTGCTAAGCACAGGGGATATGAAGAAAGGCAAAAGCCAATTCCTGCCCTCAAGCTGCTTACAATCTAATTGGAGAGACAACATGCAAACAGCAAGGTATAGATAATGTAAAGGGGAGGTGATGTCAGAGGGAAGGTGTTAGCAGCAGGAGAAAGCCTACAAGGGACCAGAGTGACAGAAGGAAGAACCTCACACCCAGGACAATAGGGAAAGAGCAGTGCTGAGGGTTTGGCCCAGCACCTGTGCTTTGATGCTCGGGTAGCATCAAAATCTGTCAAAAATCCTTCACCAACGTCAACAATTTTCACCACAATTCCCTATTCACCTCTGTGGAGCTTCCGAGTTGGGCCACCCCTAATTAAGGAAGGGAGGTTTTCATTTACCCATAAGTAAAGGAGAATGGCCTTCTTCATTCTGAGTGTTGGGGTCACAGTCATTGAGAAGAAGAAAGTTGGTATTTTCCGCAAGGCATTTGTCTACTGCCAAGAAGAGTGGAGTCTCACCTTTCCGAGTAGTTTGCTCCCATAGTCTGGGTGGCGAACCTGAAAGACCCCATTGGATGAAAGAGGTTAAGTAACAGAGGGGCTCCCTAGGAGCAGGGAGGGAGGAGCCGAGGGAAGCAGCTACCTTTCAGAGTGAGTTCCAAGACGTGTTTGTTTAATTGGGTTGCCGCATGGTGCAAAGGGAGCCAGCCTGTCTGATCCGTCTCCTCAAATGCCGAAGAGTGCACAGACAGCTTTGATAGAGCATCTTCCTCACCTGTAGAGGACAAGCTCGCCTTTGGCATGCGGGCCACGAAGCCTGCTCCCTCCCCTGCGCAGACTTAAAACCCTTGCTGCCCATTTGGGTCCTGTTAGACCCATCTATCTGTGCCAATCTCATTCTACCTACTGGAGCAAATGCCCTGAACGGCATTTTGTTTGACTTAGAATCCCCCACAGTGCCTTGTATACAGCAAGTAGCTGGTATGTTGGGTGAATGGATTTGTTGAATGACTGTTCACCGAGTTAGCCAATCACCTTACATCCACAAGGTACATGAGGTGAAAAAATGGAGTTTGGATACCAGCTGCCCACGGAAGGTCCAACATGCAGGGTGGAAAGGCTTTGGAATCAAATGACTGGGGTTCAAAGTCTTTCTTTTGCCTTAGCACTGTGCCTGGCATATAGCAGGTGCTTAATAAATGTTTAATGCCTCACTGGATCTACTACTTTCTACTTCTGTGACCTCAAGCAAGTCACAACCTCTCAGAGCCCTGTTTCTTCATCTGCAAAATGAAAGGATTGGACTAGATTACCTCTAAGGTACCTTTCAGCTCCAAGAACAGCCCATGTTTGCCTAATGCTTTTGAAGCATTCTTTGTGCCTGGATGGTTAATTTATCCTCCTTCCCACCATCTTGCCTGGGGAAATAGCTTCCCTTGTCCCAAAGGGAAAGTTCTTTAAATGATTATAATCATATCTTACCATAAACCCTTGAGGGTAGAATAAGGAGGGTACTTAACTGCCTTGATTGCTTCAACAATCTTCTTATATTCCGGGCTCAAAAAAGAATGGAGACTACAAGGAAATTAAAGAAAAGAAAGAAAGAAATTGCCACCCCAGTGATGGGGGTGAAAATTGGGTTTTTTTTTTTAACATCAAATGAGAAGAAATGAAGAGATTACAGATCTAGGAAAGAAATCTAGGACTAAGCAATTCCTAGGAATCAATAACAATAAGGCATCCATGCCTTACCGTGCAAACCACACACTGTAGGAGAAACTAAAATGCACACAGTGGTGCATAGTGACCATTTACATCTATGGTGTCAATGGTGTTAAACAAGAATAATGAATGAGAAACACAAGTCAGAAGCTACCAAATGGATGGTGCAGTGAGGGGTCTGGGAAGGATGGTAAAAGGTCTGTCTTAGCTCTGACACACATCTGCTATGTGACCCTGGGCAAGTCACTTCACCTCTCTGAGCTTTTCTTTTTTTAATATGCGAAAGAGGAGTAATCATACAGGTACTACCTATTCTCAGAGGGTTACTTGAAGAAGCTGTTTTGTTATGTGATAAAGGATGAGGATAGCCCTGAGCTCTCACTAGTTTAAGGAACTCCAAGGCAAAATAACTCCTTCCACCAATGCCTGTTATCATCTCCACTACAATTCATTGTCTCAGAGCAGGGGTTCTTAACCCGGAGTCTGTAAACTCTTTTTAAAAAATATCTTGATAACTGTTTTTCAATAGGATTGGTTTCTTTTGTAATTACAAAGTGATTACAGTGCCTAACACATACCAGGTGCTTACTAATTGACTAATCCTGTGCATTTATTGTATGCATTTTAAAACATGATTCTGAGAAGGGGTCCTTACATTTTACTGAACTTCCCAAGGGGTCCAGGATACAAAAAAAGATTAAGAAATCCTGTCTTAGAGGGTTTCCTTGAGTACTGAGATATTGTGTGACTCGCCTAGGGTCCCACAGCTAATATGTATCGGAGAAGGGACTTTTGCCCTGATCTTCCTGGCTTCGAGGCTAGCTCTGCATAAAACATAGTGCTATATAAATGTGAGCTATCACAAGTATTGTCATAAATAACACATTTAACATATCTACGAGGACACCATTACCTGTCATTGTTCTCTGCATGTTGTATGGTCTCTGGCTTGTGTGTATCCTGTAAACTCCGCTGAATGACATATTGGGTGGCAAGGTCATCGTCCAAGTCTTCATCGGCGCTATAGTTATTCATGCGTGTGCGTGTTGCTTTAAACCACAATCTAAGGAATGCTTAAATTGTTGTTGTTTTTCCTCAGTTGTAAACTCCAAATTACAGCTGCATTTGAGAAAACTGCCACAGGGACAGAACTGATCACTGAAGAAAATGCTGGGGGAAAGTGTATTTTTTAAACTTCATTTAAAAAGACCAGATTCCGCGAGCTTTACACATTGTTTTCTGAATTAGTTATTTCCTAGTTTTAAATCATCTGAAATGATGCAGAGAACTGGGGGACATTTAATGATCATTAAAGGAACATGATCATCTGGAGAATCATAGACTGTCAGAGCTAGAAAAGATCCCAGTGGCCATCTGGTCCATGCAATACCTGAAGAAGAGTCCCCTTTGTAACATCCCAGACTAGCGGTCACACGACTTCTGCTTGGATGCCCTCCAGTGACAGGGCGCCTACTACCTCCTGAGACACACCCCTTCCACTTTTGGACAACTCTGATCATCAATAAGTTACTTGCCTAGAGTTTGCTTGAATCTTTATTACATAAATAAGTATATATCCCTTGCACTTACACAGTTACAAAAAGTTATTGCTCCTTTCTATTAGGGTCACTAGGAAATCCTTCTGCCTATGGAACTAGGACTGGACTCAAGCATAGTCTCTTAAAAATTCAGGATATATAACAATGTGCTGGGATTTTTTTTTTCAGCAAGAACTGGGCTGGGAACCTTATTCCCTTTTCCATTCCTTCTCTTTCCTGTATCATAGCAAACAGAAAAAAGAAAATTCAGTAACAAATTGCAGTAATTTTAAGCAAGGCTGAAATTGCATTGGGATGGTCTCCCGTTCCCGGTGAGGACATTCCCTCCACCAATGCATATCAGTCACTCATCTGTAGTCTTTAGTCTTAGTAGAGCTGCCTGAGGGCACCCAAAAGTTAAATAACTTGTCCAGTGCCACACAGTTAGTATAGATCAAAGGCAGGAGTTGAACCCAGGTCTTCCTGCCTCTTTCTTGTTTACTAAGCAACCTCTTGAGAAGCGGGGGTGGGGAAGGAAGGGGACAAGCATAAGTTAGTAAGACACTGAAAGCATTTAAACCCAATAACAAGGAATAGCGAAAATTTCTTTCAGTTCCTGTAGCATACTCTCCCAGGATGTATTTCCTGTGCCCAGCATGTTGAGAAGAATTTGTATATTCCATTAGCAAATACATTTTTTAAATAAACCAGCATACGAACACGTATACTTTCATGAGAGCATAAAATCAGCCTTGCCCATCCAAATCAGAGATGTTCCAGGCAATCCCGCCTTATTTCCACTCTGCTTAGAAAAAGAACTTGCCACAAACTCAAGCTTCAGTGTTTTTACCTTTTCTTGCATCAGTTAAAACAGAATTGAAGTTGGAAATTTTAAGAGCGTAACCAGCCTGAAGATTTTCATTGACACTCAAGCAATCTTCCCTCTCCTACGATGCTGTGAATAGCCTTACTATAAATACCCAATCATAAGACAGCCTGGCATAGACTGGCTTTTCACATGTGGACTGGCTATGTTTGGAAACACGAGCTTTTGGGTACAGCCACAAAAGATAAATGGAAAGGATTCAACGTCTTGGACTTTGCTGGCTAAGGGGAGGTAAAAATGGAAGTCCTTACAGGAGACGAGTGGCTCCCCACCCCAGCCCCTCTATGACCCTCTTTTCACTTCTATTCCCCTATCCAAAGCCAACCCAAAATTGTCAAAGTCAGTCATAAATGCAACAAAATCAGGTCTGACTCGAGTTATCAGTTAGCCACCCTGAAGGTCCAGGACGTATTGGGCAGCTGCTTTATTTAGACCATAGTGCATACCTTAAGGTGTCCTGGGGGAACGCGAGTTTAAGATAAACAGAATATTTAAATATAATCTGGGCTCAAAAATATTCATTGGTTAAAAAATAGTAAGACCTCAACATTGTGAGGTTATACCAGATGATGAGAACATTAATGATTAAAAATGCCATTTCCACACACCACCTTTCATGGTTCTGAAAGACAGTGAGGAATAATTGTAAACTAGCTTTGCCATCATCTTTGCACGTATCCTTGTCTCCAGGTAGCAGATTCTTTGGTATATCATATCATTCATGAGAATAAACCCCAGGGGCAGCTAGGAGGTGCAGTGGATAGAGTACTGGCCCTGAAGTCAGGAGGATCTGAGTTCAAAGCCGGCCTCAGACACATAACACTCACTAGCTGTGTGACTCTGGGCAAGTCACTTAACCCCAATTGCCTCATATTAAAAAAAAAAAAAAGAACAAACCCCAAAAGAGTTTCAGAGAGCTAGAAAGAAGGAATGACTCCCTCCATGACTCTTTGTTATATACGTATGTATATGTATGTATGTATTATATGTGTATATATAACATGTATATATGATTCATTATGATATATAATACATTATATGGATACATTATATACATTATATATAATGCATTATGTAGACTACATTATACATTATGGTATAGATATAGATATAGATATAGATATAGATATAGATATAGATATAGATATAGATATAGATATAGATATAGATATAGATGTAGATATAGATAGATATAGATATAAAACATATTATCTAGAGTTCGTGCAAGGGTATCAGGACATTTGCCTGACTGACCTCCCCTAGGCAGCAGGTCGTCTCCAAGGGAAGGGCAGTTTGAGATGTTTATCATCAGGTAACTCAATCTAATTTGGAAAACCCAAAACACAAGCTTAGGATCTGTTGTCATCATTCACCCTTGTTTGCAGAGAGGACCAGTGACATCGCAGGTGATGTCTTGACTTGCACCTGAATTGGATTTCAGTGAGGTAGAACTGCACTAAGTCACCCGCCTCACTCTCCCTTCGTGAGTCATCAAAGTCCAGTGGCGAGACAAAAGCCAGGATGACTAGTGATGACCTGGGATACAGTGGATGACCTTGGGGTCTCCAGTGTCTGACCAAGCTCTAAGTGCTCCACAGTGCTGGCTTCAGCTGCCTTCTTGGCTGGTGGAACAAATAATTCTCCTCTACCCGTTTCGCCAGGGGAAGTCTTCATGTGCTTAGGGTAGACATCCCCCTAACTCACAGATGGGTTTGAGACCCATCAGTTACCTTCAACCTGGATTAGTCCTTCTGACAAGATGGTTTTATCCGGGTGTGGCTGCTGCACATGCTACAGCTTCTTGGAGAGGTGAGAGCTGAGTGCAAGGTGAAAAATGGATGAGCAGCCCTGAAAGGGGCTCAGCAGCCCTCCCACCAGAGATGCTCAGCCCCCCCCCATACATTCTTGTAGCCATCCTGGCTTCCCTGGAGCATCTCTCTGGTCGGCTGACCTCCACAGCAAGCTTTTGGGTTAGACAATTTTCTAGCCACATAACGCTAAGTTCAACAATATTAACAAAGGATAATATTTTCTCCATAATCCCTTCTTTTGAAGCTTAAAGCCCAGCATTCTCATACAAAGCTAAAGCATAATAACAGAAGCAGAAATCTGGGTTATGATTTCAAAGGGAGTTCATTAAATAACTTGACTCAGTGGAGTCAGCTCATCTAGCTAGAGATTGAGAGAATTCCTTTAAGGAGGGGTAGGGGTCAGATTAGAGACAAACTCTTCCCAATGTCTCATAGTCACAGGGATCAATTTTAGTATATTTCAGGGGTTATAGGTCAGGGAACTTAAACTGACACCAGGAAACAGGTACAATGTGGCCATGAGTATCACAGAAATCCTAATTCCATAATTCCTTCAATGTCATAAAGGTTGAAGGATCTTAAGCAGAGCCATAATCTCATACATGCCTTAAAGAGACAAACCTTGGTAAACAGACTCTATAGGTAAACTAAGTCAGGTTACAGATTAAACTACACTCAGAGAGTCCACAATGGACTGATTTAGAGGGGAGATTTACATATCACTAAAGTAACCAAGAAAACTGTGGTCAGGGAAATCTTTACACAGTTAGCTAGGAGAATAACTAAATCATTCGGGGAGCTCAGACTTCGCTTTGGCTTCTACCTGAGGGATGTCCATTAACATTATTATTCCATAAGTCGAGTTTGGGTCAGGCGAGATTAATACAGACAGAAGACTTGTAGTTAACCAAAGAGTTGCAGGAGGAATGGCTTTGATCCCCAAACAATAAATAAAAGGAATCTGAGCATAGCCCTCCGTCAGGCAAACATAAACACCACAAAACATTAAAGCCAAATGCAATACAGTAATGATCATCAGTATTAAATAATATCAGGTCTCCTCGTTTCTGGTCACCCACTCTCAATGGCCATTTAAACAGCATATCTCAGCTTGGGTCCCAGCTGTCACATATTGATGTGACATTGATGGCCATTTTGATATTCCCCTACTCAGATTAATCTGTATTTATTCAGTTTATTGTGATTCGATGAATATCAGTGATTGTTTTACTGAATTAAGCAGAACCGTTTTCAGTTTAAGTTAGTTAAGTTTGTTAATACTGCTAGGATAAGAATTATGAATGACTTATCTGCAATTTATTGATGATTATATTATATTTGATTTATCAGCTAGATTCTTGTTATCGGTTAGAAATGTAAAAAGAATGTAATTTCTGCATTACTCTGCCCCCCCCACATTCTGTAATGTGCTATAATAAGGTTCATTTGTGTCCTCACTCCTGTGAATCACAATTACCCACTCTCTAGTAACCTTTGATTCAAATTCATATTTTCCTTGGACCCTAAGATACTGTTCATCAAACACTAGGATCTTCTGACTTCTAGAAGGTCCTGAGATGTTGTTGAAAGGGTCTTATGACTTTGGAAAGCCCCTCCTGGGATGACCTAGAGTTGATGACCTGTGGAAGGCCTGTTGACAAAGTGGTTATAATTGACGGACATTTCCTTAGCCAATCATAAGATTTCCCCACTTCTGGAATTAACCAATCAGTGAATTAATTGTAACAACTCCTTGTATTTTTTCTGCCCTCCTAAAAGTATAAAAGTAGCCAAAGGGAGGGGCTCCTGAGCATGAGGAAGATCTTGGACCCAAATAATTGGGCACACCTGGACTTCCTAATAAACTGATTAATCACATTTGGAGTTCTCATGACTTCTGCTACAGACTGGAATCTTCTGGCCCACAGAATAGCCAAACAATCTATCAGACAAAACTTACTCTTTATTATACACAAACTTTTAAGTCCTCTACTTTGGCTGGGAGAGGTCTATTACTTCAGAGCTTGCCAAGACAATGCCAGCCAAAAAGATCCCAAGGAACCTCACAGATAAGGCTGATTTCCCAAGTCTATGCTACATTTCTTTTCCAACAGCAAATGATTATTCATTGAGAAGCAAAATAGACACAATTAAATACTTAATAGTTTTCCAACATTATGACCACATTCTTTAACAGCTCAATTCATAATCTAACAGCATCCAGATTAAAAGAGAAGCTAATTTTCCAAAGATACAAATGTGTCACCCTCTGGGCACCATTTTCAAGTTAACAGCATTTCTTGTACGATGGTTTCACAAAATTCACAATACAAGAAAAATTAGAAGCCTAACAATAACATAAGCAACATCATCTCTAAAATATAACACAAAACTTTTCATGAAATAATATCAGTTCAGTTGAATGCACTTCCAAATGCTCTTATAGAGAAAATCACCTCATTTATCTATCAATTTCACATTCTGTATTAATTGCATTCAAAAACCAGTACTGAGTAATTACACTTAATAAAATTAATAATAGCTAGCATCTATATAACACTTACCACGTGCCAAGCACTTTGCAATTTTTGTCATTTGTGCTTCACAACAACCCTAGGAGGAAGGTGTTATTATTACCCCATTTTACAGTTGAGATAACTGAAGCAAACAGAAGTGACTTGCTTGGGGTCACACAGAGTAGTAAGTTTTTATGGAACTCAAGTTTTCTTGATCAAGCATATTGCCTTAATGCTAAATATCAAATGCATTTTGCATTAAGTTCTTATTTCCCACAATTATTCTAATAGAAGAACACATCTCACTTTAAATGAAACCACATAATAATTGAGTTCCAGGACAAATTTCAACCAAATCAAATCTGTACTTACAATCACAAATGCTGACAATGAAAACCTCATTTATACACTCACTGCTTCCTATTAGCTTGCTTTCAAAGATTCATCCCTTTCTTTCACAGCCCATGACACTCTAAGGTTCTTCAAAGTGTATCCTTCTCCAATACTTCCATGCTTGAATTTTATTTCTATAGTTTCCATTTGATAAATGTCATAACTTGATAGAATACTATCTGTCTGAAACTGTTAACAGGTACTTCTCCAAAAAGTTTCTCATATCCTTCTTATATCAATGAGAAAAAAAGCTTTCTCAAACCTTTCCCAGACTTCAAATCCTTTCTTTCAAACCCTCCATGTGGTCAGTGCAAAAGGACTCCAACTTTCTTTAAGGTTCTGTCTTATCTTCTT